GGAGTACAAGGAGGAGTACAAGGAGGAGTACAAGGGGGAGTACGAGGGGGAGTACAAGGAGGAGTAAAAGGAGTACAAGGAGGAGTACAAGGAGGAGTACAAGGGGGAGTACAAGGAGTACAAGGAAGAGTACAAGGAAGAGTACAAGGAGGTTAGTGCTGTAGATACAGGGAAGCCGTCATTGCTGTAGATACAAGGCAGAGGTCAGTGTTGTGGATACAGAGCATTGGTCAATGTTGTAGATACAGGGAATAGGTCAGTGCTGTAGATACAGGGTAGAGGTCAGTGTTGTGGATACAGAGCATTGGCCAATGTTGTAGATACAATGATATTTTCAATATTGACTTTTTTTGTCTTTTGGACCAATATCTCTTGAACATGTCGGTTGTGGTTCAGGAGTTAGAGCAGGTTGTCCACTAATCAGAAGTTTGGTGGTTCAATCCCCGGCTCAGGAATCAGGAACACTTCCTGCTGGGACTCTTTCAGAAATTGTGGTGGCAGCAGCAGATGCAGCAATCACACACATTTTCTTCATGAAATGCAAATATTTAAGTTTTAAATATGATTGTAATATAATTTCCAGCGTTCAGTCTACACACTGCAAGCAACAGGACAATGACTGCAGTTCACTGCACGGCCACTGGTGGCACAGTTAACAACAGTATAATGAGAGTATAGAAAGTTTAATATGTGTGTGAGTGTTTACCTTTGGTAATGTCAGACATTTTGATGACACAGCGTATTCAATGTATGCCTCTTCCTTTCGACTGGGGCCTATTCCTCCATTTGTATAACACGTTTCCTGCGCTCTCTGCAGCTTGTCGTCAAGGTCTGCCATCCCATAAACACAAAGCGCTGAGCGATCAGTCGGTACAGGTGTGGAAGCTTGTCCTGCCGCCATGATGATGAACAGTGCAGGTTTATCTGAGTGGTTTCCTAACCACGCTCCCTGAGCCAGGTTGTACCCACCGTTGCACTTCAGCGGCACCTCCACGTACGAGTAGAAGCTGCGGTCAGAGGTGCAGAGCCGGGAAGCATAGGTCTGGTACTCCTTCTTGTGCCGCCGCGAGAACAGGAAGTAGACGTGGTTGCCATGGGTGACAGCCTTCACAAAGTGGTTGTTGTACTCAGAGTAACTTCCTACAACGAGTTTCCCCAGCTCCTCCTCCTGAGAGAACGCCTGGCGAGGCGGGACCACCGGGAACAGACGCCGCGTTGTGATTGGTGGGATATCACCAGGGCCTTTACTGGTGTAGCCTCGACCAACTAACATCAATCGCATGATGCCACCAGCCCCGCCCACTTCCTGTTTGTTCTCTGTGGTTATCACCACGGCGACAGTGGAGACTCGAGGGTCGTTGGCGGCGACATACTGAGTGTCGACGGGGTTGGAGGTCTGATAGATGAGCTGAGAGATGTTTGTCAAACTCCTGCAGGAGCAAAAAACCAGGTCCATGTTAACAACATGCTAACAGGCTAACATGATGCTAACAAAGTAACATGATGCTAACAGTGCTAACATGATGCTAACAGGGTGCTAACATAATGCTAACAAAGTAACATGATGCTAACATTAAGCTGACAGGCTAACATGATTTTATCTAGATAACTTGATGCTATTGGGCTAACCTAATGCTACTGGGCTAACTTGATATTTGATATTAGTTTTCTTGAACAGTCTCTTTATTTTCAATTATATGATTCGACACAAATCTGGATTTTTCATAAATCTTGTGACATTTGAAACTGATCCAAATGATTTTGTTCATTAGAGGTTTGATAAAAATGTTGATATATATTTAAAACATAGATTTTTATTACTAATTTTATAATATATGGTTATGATCATTATTCATCCGGCCCGGTTCTATAGGTATGCAAAATGATGCATTGCAACACTAGTTTAATATTTCGCATCGTCTGAATAATAAAATGAGGACTGTGCACATATCCATATCTACGTTCTGTAAATTAATCTGCAGATATGATCTTTCTATGTGAATTTATCCCCATTAAACAAGATTTAGTGGCAGTGTAGAGGTGAATGAACAGCCAGATAACTGAAATTAAAATCTCTAAATAAATATACAGTGTTTACCCGAATAAAAAGTTGGAGTCCTTGAATGTGTGTCAGAAACGTGCCTCAGTTCATTAACACAGGTACAAGTACAGGTAAAGGTGCAAGTTCAGGTACACAGACGGAGTTACCTCTTGTCACAGATGCCCTGGTAGAGTGACCCACAGACAATCAGACTCACTGGCTCCACCCCCTGCCCCGCCTCCAGCAGCAGCAGTTTGTTGTGGTTGTGAGTGGGCGTGGCCGAGGGGCAGTCCTGTGGCACGATCGGGGGGAGGCAGTCTGGGGAGTCCAGGTGAGGGCCGGTCTTGACATGTGACGTCACTTCCAGGTCAGAGGTCAGCTGGTACAGATGGTCAACCCCACCCACATACAGGTGGCCCAGCCCCGGGTACAGCACAAGGTGAGACAGGGGGGCGCCGTGTAGCTCCACCCATTGCACAGAGGGGTCAGAGGTCGCAATGACATCAGCTGGGTAAGAAGGAGGGGGCAAGAGCAGGAGGAAGAGGAGTGATGGGGGAATGGAGGAGGCCAACATGGCAGCTCCTCTTTACCTGTCACAGGTGAGACAGAGAGAGACAGACAGACAGACAGAGAGAGAGAGAGAGACAGAGAGACAGACAGAGAGAGAGACAGACAGACAGACAGACAGACAGACAGGTGCATAGCAACAACAGACATGTTAGTGTTGTCTTTGTACTGACTAGAAATGGACATAGTCTCTGTGACGTCACCCATAGGTTTCTGAAGAGCCATTGTGAAGCTCAGTGTGGTCCATCTTGGCGATTCTGACTCCGCTGGCTCCCGGCTAATCATGAGACATGTAGTGTGGATGGAGTTGAGGCTGTCTGATTGAAACCTGGTTACTGAAAACCTAGTTTGCTGATGTTGTTTCTTCAGTTCCAATTAGAAATCACTCAGGACCTACATTTTCCAAAGCGCTCATGAAATTATTCCCCAGCCCTGGTGTCTTATCTGTTTACAGTGAATGTACATAGTTCATGTTTATCTAATGAGGAAAGGGACTATACAAGTCATAAGTCATAATGCAGAATAACTCTGTTCTTTGCAAAAGCAGGGCAAAAGCCTTTGGCTTGCCTCTGTTAATATTCGGGATCTAAATGGATTTTTCCTCACTTATGCATTATAGATGTCGCCTGTGCGACTGCTTAATCAAAAAATTGGCACCAGGGCTTGGTGAGGGGCTCATCACTTCCAATCTAGTAAACACACTAGCGGCGCAAACACGGACATGTCACAGGGGCTGTCATGCTCTTCCAGGAAAAGTACGCTGTCTGCAGGCCACCAGAACCAGTGCTGCGATATTATAAACAAACAGACGGGGATGTACAATATCAGCTGCCCACACCACCCCTCCTTCCGTGTGTAAATACACACAGAAACATGTATGCAGTGGAGCATATGTGCACGTGCACATAAAGGAACAAATACACACACACGCTACACACATGGCTCTGTGGAGGGCTGGGGTGTGTTGGTTTCTGTGGAAGTGGTAGGGTGAGATAAGAATGGGCTGGGTCTTCCACAGAAGTAGGAGGCAGCCACATGACAGCTGAAAGACGGAGAGAAAGCCCAGTGATAGGAGGGGGGCAGGGGTGAATAAACCCCTCCAGAATCTGCTTGTAGTGAGTGAGTGTTGCTTTGTTTCTATGGAAACATTGTTACACTGTTTGACTGTTTGCTGAGCACATAAAGATGAGTCACAATGATGAGGCCAAAGAGTTTGCCTGAACTGTTCACCGAAGCTTCCTCGTGGTTTGTTTAACCTGCTCTCTGCCTGCATTATTGGTCACAGTCACAGTTTACAATCATGAGATTTAAATGAATGCAATAAATAATGCATGTGTAATTTCTTTGTCGACCATAGGAGTAAACTAAATCTGCCACGATTTAAACTCTCGCTGCGGAAGAGACACATTGTATACGTTTCCAATAGTAATAAACAGTAGCTTATTTTCCATCATGACGGACTGACAATCAGCACTTCCATCAATATAAATCAAGGATGAATAGAACACCTTGTTGTAAAATAACTTGTCATGATAAAACTTGCACTTGGAGCTTATGCTGAGCAGCAAAGAAGTACACTTGACTCTGCCCTGCATGCTTCACTTTCACAAACACACAGCATACCAGCTTTTTTAATATATATATATTCTGGTGGAGAGAGGGGGATATTCTGACCTGGGCCTGCGGTAAGGACTCAGCCTTGTGGTATACGAGGTGAGCTACCGGAGCGCCCCCATAACTGCCCTTTTAACCATATATTAAAGGTCCTATGGAATGAATTTCAACATTACAAGTTATTAAAATGCATTTATGTATATTAGAATGTCATTATTTTTTATCAAAGTAATCATAGTGTAAACAACAAATATCACAATAAAATGTGGCCATAGATTTTGTCACTAAATCCTATACATTGGTCTTTTAAGTTGTCATGTGTGTGTCATGCTGCAGAAACATTGTTTGCACATGTTAAAAAACTGCAATTGTGGCTTGAAATGATTCATTTGTGTGATGTAGGACAACTGCAGACTGTAGGAAAAAACAATTATATACCATTGATTTTCATTAAGTTATTCATAAAAAAAATGTTTTCAGTGCCATTCTGTGCTGAAAGGGAACTATTAACACTGTTAATGTTACCGTAATATACTGTCCATAAGGACCAGTGTGTAACATTTAGGAGGATCTATTGTCAGAAATGGAATATAATATTCATGGGTATGTATTCATTAGTGTATAATCACCTGGAAATAAGAATGACTGGACTATCTGTTTGTTATTTTAGAATGAGCCAGTTTTTATCAACAGACACAGCGGGTCACCTCCCGTGTCCACCATGTTAAACCGCCATGTTTCTACAGTAGCCCAGAAAGGACAAACTAAACACTGGCTAGGGACGTAGGATTTTCCACTAGTTTTGCGACCATCATATTTTCTCCTACACACTTCACAGCCCGTTCTCATTCCCAGGTTGTCAGATACGCGAGCGGTGTTCAGTTAGTTGCAATTTGCAACTAGATGCCACTAAATCCTGCACGCTGGCCTTTTAACTTCCATTCTCTTGTTCTAATAGCATATGTTGCTTTTATTTAACTACCTACCTGATAGCATAAGTACCATGTGCTATATTAATTGTTCTTTCTTTTCTGTGTCCTGGTTTAGTTCAGGTATTCCAACCAAAGTGCCCCATAAAAATTAATATGTGTTTTACTTACACAAATAGGCTTAATAACTCTTGAACAAACACATTGGTTTATTGGTACAAGTGTTCACGTCCACATTTGCAGCCTGTGGTAATGTCAGCATGCCAGATCTGTGGCGCACACACACACACACACATACACACACTGACTTGTTATTGCTTCTGGAGTCACACCCAGAATACTATTTCTGCTGCCAGTTACTATGTATTACACTGATAACCTTTCGCTCAGGTTATTGGGTTCATACAATATAAAGAGGCTTTTATCATCTGGCTGCCAGTTAATGAGGAGGGATTACCTCAGGATCTCTGCAGAGAAATAACCTGCATGGTGGATGTGCTCTGTTGCATCAGACATGCAATAGTTCGCTGTGCATCCACTGCATTCATTAAAGGTGTGACAGCTTATAGCACCTGAGGTGTCCAACAGGCCAGTTAGTAGACAGCTGCATCCGAGCGCTCGCCCATTATCACGGCTGCACACATGTTAAGCAAAAAAACCCCAGCATGCCTTACAACATGTGCGTGGTCTTCTTGGTCCCTGCTTGGTTTGTTTTAGGATTTTCTTTTTCTTTGTTGTTGGATTGAAGAGCATATTTCTGATTGTCTCCACAGTTTGGTAGAGCACATTTTGACTTGTAATATCTTGTTAAGAAAGTTGTTGACCTTGACCTGATAACTATTTCTAGAACTGGAGTCACCTTTCTGCTTTAGGAAATAACTGCACACGGACACCTTTTTATGTGGATTTTGTACAGATTACACAAATGAGTTAAAATGTTAATTGGCGAGCTTTAGAGGTGCTACTGGAGAGATTTTGTTACCTTTGGACAGAGCCAGGCTAGCTGTTTCCCCCTGTTCATTGTAATAAGTCAAGCTAAATGATTTCTGGCAGGTTTGTATTTAATGGACAGATAGGAGAGTGGTATAGATCTTCTCATCTAGCTCTCAACAAAGTTGAACATTTAGTGTTTATAAACTGTTATCAGTGCAATAGTTTTGGACACTGAGCAAATCGTGTGTGTCTGAACAGAAGTCAGTGACGCTTTGTAGACAACGAAGAAGATCCATCATCCAAAAAATTGTTCTGCCGATGAACAAGTCAGATCTAACTCTACAAATATTTTTGCTGCATATGGCTTTTTGTCATTTTTATTTGACCACTGGTTAATTTTTACCTACTTATCTTTTTTATAAAGTTTTATGTTTTATGTTTTTTGTTTTTGTTTTTGTTTTTTACATATGTACAATATTTTCTTTATCAAGTTTATATATTGCTCTTGTCCATAAACAGAGATGTGTAATTTGAGAATGTATTTATCTCACTTTAATAGAGACAAAGCTGTGCAAATTGTGCATCTGAGCTGTTTGGGAGAGGCTCATAATTAAAAGGAAAAACCTGTTTAGTCAGTTGAAAGAAAAGGGTTTTTTTTCTTAAGAAGTCTTAAGAAAAAAAGAATTCCAACTTTTTTCTGGATGGGGTCATTAATTAAAGGTTCAGTCTAAAGCTCCACAGGGTTTGATACATCTCTAAAACTGAAAGCACATTGGATCTCTAGATTATAAAACAGCAGGATACGAAAGCTTTAATAATTATTTTTTCCACCAGCATATGTAAACCTTTGTGTGAACATATCCCCATAATTGGTACATTGCAGGACAATATGGAGGAAAACGTGTTTTTTAAGTGCATCCGAGTTTATCCTGGAAGCAGGTCTGCAGGCGAGGCAGTGTGGACAGTTTTTTTCACACGGTAGTGTGTGTGTGACCTGCAATTACATCTTCACCTAAATAATTGCACATAAGAAAAAGGCCTGAAAGAAAAAGTACTCATCCAAATTACCAAAAACAATGTGCCCCACCCTTTCTGTCCTTTTTCTCTTTCTTTCTCTTCTTACACTCCACCCATCACACATACGCACAAAAACAAACACACCCCAGGTAAGTTATCTGCTCATGTAACTATGCCTTTTGTACCTCTGCCTTCTTTTCACGTGGTGGAATTTAGTGAATCTATTGTTAACCGGGGGTTTACTTTCACACTTGCACTATGACTCATAAATAGAAAGAGGTGTGTGTGTCTGTGTGTGTGTGTGTGTGTGTGTGTGTGTGTGTGTAGCCCCTGATGTTTTTATATTCGTGGCTGTATATCAGTCACATCCTCTTTGTTTTACTATTTTTAAGTGGACATTCCAGTGATGTAGAGTGTAGTTGTGGGTGTAAAGGCATTAATTTAAAGCCCATGTGAAGGTCCACTTCTCTATTCCTGCTTTCTTTCAGTCTGAAAAACCATCTGTATGTCTGCCTCTGTCTTTCCAC